CTGAAATCGCTCTACGGTATCAAACAAGCCCCGCGGCTGTGGCAACAGCACCTACACACTCGCCTCACTCGCATCGGATTCCGCCAACTACCTCACGACCAAGGAATGTATCGACTCACCAAAAACGCCGACTATATCCTGCTGATCGTCTACGTCGACGACCTACTCTACATTGGCTCCACCGACGACGTCACCACCTGGTTCGAAGGGGAGCTGCAGAGGGATCTCACACTCATGGTCTCCTCTACCGTCACTCAGTACCTCGGACTCAACATCCGCGAAGAAGAGAACGCGATCTATCTCAGCGCCGAAAAGTATGCCGACACTATCGCCAAACGCTTCTCGCTCACACCTACCACTATCTCCACGCCATACCGCTACACGGCAGGGAACGACAAAGGAGGTCCCGCTCTACTCAAAACCGCCGGAATACACACCTACCAGAGGAAGCTGGGCTGCCTTCTCTTCGCAGCCGTCACCTGCCGCCCAGATCTGTCCTACTCCGCAAGTCAACTTGCTACCTATCTCAAAAGGCCCGAAACAGAACACCTGGCGGAACTCGACCGCGCTCTCCACTACTTCGTGAGCACCTCGACGATCGGCCTGACATACTACAAGAGTAAAACTACACCGACGAAACTAATCGGCTACGTCGATGCCGATCACGCCGGCGATTCAGACAACAGACGCTCCCGCACTGGCTACATCTACCACCTCGAACCTATCGGACCTATCTCCTGGCAATCGAGCAAGCAGGAACTAATCGCTCTCTCCTCAGCTGAAGGAGCCAAGCGGTAGCCAAGCGGCGAACGCTGCGAGTGCCATGTCGCGGCTGGGTAGGTTTCGATGCCAGACGTATCGAGTGGCGGCGTCGATGAAGGTTATCGTGTAATTGTAGGTGACTTGTCCTGGTTCTCGATTGAAGAGGATGCCGCTGTATACTTTCTCGAGTGGTGCGTATGCAGGTGCGCTCGGGTTGTGGTGAGAAGAAAACGGTCGATGGGGTAAGTCGGCTTCGGGGCAGATGAGGCAAGTTCCTCGTGCCCGTTGAAGTTCTCTGCCGTCGGGTAGTAGTAGCGAATCTTTGTCGAGGACTCCTGCTCGTATTGTGTTATTTAATACTGTGTTGCTTGGATGTCCTGTGCGTGCGTGCCAGATGTCTTCAGGAGCGCGATGTCCGGGTGAGCGTTGATACGCGTCGGAGTTGGAGTAGAAGCTGGCGACGACATTGGCGCTTCTGTGGACTTCTCGTTGAGTCGGGTTCAGTTGCTGTGCGGGTGTTGGTGGTGCTTTGTCGACGATGACTGGTGTCGTTGGTCCTGCTGCTGCCGATGATGTTTCTGCTGCTGTCGATGTTGTCTCTGCTACTGCCGTTTGTTGAATTGTTGCTAACGCTCGTGTTCGTTCTGCTTCAGGGATGGTGTGCGAGTACCAGAAATCTCCCGGGCTGAAGTCGGGATCGAGATCCGGGGGATGTGTCCAATCGGCGAAGTTGACGATGGCGTCGCTATCTGCAGTGCCAAGGTCGGGGACGAAATCGAGGACAAAGACGTTGTTCTTCAAAACTGCTCTTCCGATGTAGAGGCCGCCCTTCCCGTGGTACAGTTTAAACTCCTGGGTGGTGCTGTCGGCTTCCAAGTGGATGCCTTTCGCCATCAGCTGGCTGACACTCAGTAAGTTATAACCGAGTCCTTCTGCGATGAGTACCTTTGACATGTGCAGTATGACGTTTGTCTCTCTTGATTGAAGCTGAACTACTCCTTGTCGTCGTGTGCGCAGGTTCTGGTTGTTGGCGACCGCGATGACTACTTCTCGCTGGAGTCGATGTTCGCGTTGAACGAAGCGTCCCGAGGAGCACATATGTTGTCCGCAGCAACTGTCCAAGAACCAGGTGTCTTGCCCGGACGGTTCGCTTTGAGCCATGGCGGCGTACGTCGGATTCGGTTGGAGTGACTCGCGGCGAGGCGTCCTGTTGTCGAGCTCTTCTTCCGGTGAGTAGTGAGGTGGTGATTCGGTTTTGCACGAATCAGTTATCTTCACCATGCAATTGACAATGTTTCTTGCTCCTTGTGCAGATTGTCCTGTTGGAGTCGTTGAAGCTTGGATTGAGGTCGTCGGATTTGCTTGTGTTGAGGCAACTTGGGAGCTTGAAGGCTGGAGTTGTCGCTGTGGTGTTGTCTGACGAGACGGGCAGTGCGTGCGAGGGTGTCCCGAAGTCTTGCAGATGTGGCAAAACGGAGGTACCGTCTTCACTTGTTGCTGTTGTCGATTGTTGTTGTTGTTGTATCGTCGCTGAGTGTGAAACGCAAACTCCGGTGCTAATGTTTTCTTCTTGTGTCTTTCTTCTTGCAGGTCCATGTCCTGCTGCTCGGCATGAATTTCCGCGCAGAGTGCCGCTTCGGAAATCCTCCCGTGTGCTCGTAATATGGCGCGAGTGGAGCGCCAGTGGGGGCCGAGACCGCCGATGACCACCGTGACAAAGGCGTCTTCTGAAATCGACCCTCCACATCGAAGAAGCTTGTCGCGCAGTTCGCGGCAGCGGCTAATATAAGCCATGCCTTTCTCGCCTGGTTTCATTTCAATTGTTGTCAACTGCGCCATTAACCTGCTTTGATTTACGCTGTCTGTTGCTTGATACAGGTTCTTCAGGTGGTTGTACGCGAGCTCCGCGGAGTTGCCGTAGCCTCGGTAAGTCCTGATGTTCTGCTGCTGGGTCGGGGTGATGTTTCTTAGCAGTATCGTGTACGCCATCATTGATTGATAGGTGTACTGCTGCTTCTCATATCTTGTCCCGTTTGTTGGATATGGCAGGGACCCGTCGAAGAAGCCGAGAATCTGTGCTCCTTCCATCATCACTTCGAACTCGAACGACCAGGTGAAGAAGTCTTTTCCGTCGAAAGGCTTTGTCGTTTGCAGCTTGAAAACATGCGCGAATTGCGATTGAACTTGTAATGCGTCCAATGCCCTTTCTTGTCCCGGTGCAGATTGCGGTTGCGGCATGAAGCTGACGGAGCCACGCTGGGGCTCGTACGGCGCAAAGGTAGGCTGCTGCTGTTGTTGTTGAATTCCGCGTGCGTAGGATGAGCCGTCGAGACTCATAGGAGTTACGTTGTTGTTGTTGCTGTTGTTTGACTGCGCAGGTACTCCTTGCTGGTGCTGCTCGTAGAAGGACATGAAGGAGAAGAATTTCTCCATCATGCTTGGATCGAAGCCTGCGGGCGTTTCCGTAGACCTAGCTGCTGGTCTCGTGGTAGTCCCTTCTTCCGTCTGTAGACCAGAGACAGGAGGTGGAGTAGGGGTAGTGCCTGGAGAACCGTTGGAGGACCTCCTCTCCTTCCTAGTAGACATGTCTTCCTTGTATTAAGTATTAAGAGAAAAAGTAACTTTGAACTCTATCTGCTCTCATACCATGTTGGGCTGAGATGCCCTAGGATCTTTGTAGAGTTAAAGTCTGAGTAGGATTGTAATAGCGGAAGCGTTTGAATGAAAAGTCCTTGAACCACCTTGCGCTAGTATGTGAGGGCAAAGTGAGTTGATTAAAACAAGCAAATACAAGGCTTTATATGAGAGTACAAGGAATACGAATAGATAGAATTAAATTGTTTTGCTGTTGCGATTCGATACAGTGCGACTCGGGCAACTGCTCAATGTCGAGTCAGTTGTGTGTCCTTGCTGTCGCGCTGTATTTGTCAAGTCAAAGGTCGCTGACTTTTGACATTCGCGTAACCTCCAGGCGGTTACCCTAACCTCCGAGGGTTGACTCGCGATGCTTCGATTTGGACTGCTTCGCTTGTGTCCTGAGTTTCGACACGACAGAGGCGCTTTAAGACTTATTGTTCCCAACACTTAGGAGGGGGGTAGTGTTACGGGGTACTTTACTGTTCAAGGGCTAATCACCCTAAACAGTGTTCCGAACCCCATCCCAAACTTATCCTTTCAAATTTCCAGGATTTCCAGCATGCCACGTGGCACTCTAGTTTTCTTGCATTCCCATTCCTAGTCCCACAAACTACTTTTCGACAATTGCTGTTGCATACTATATCAACCTTGCTTGTATTCGCTAATATCATTTAATCTTCAGTCAGTTACTTCTTCACATATTTCGCTAAGACTTCCTCCACCAAAGTCTTCCGCCGCGTTTTTTCTTCAATATATTCAGCCCCGCTATTCTTTAGCGGATTTAGGCCAAGGGGCCTAACAAATATAATGTATTACATTTCCGAAATGAACGACCCTACACCCCACCTCATCCCCAGCGCCTTCCGCGGTGAAACGCGTTCTCAGCTGAGCAGCAAGGACGTGTGGAAACTAGCGAAGACGGTCAGAAAGCAGGTTACGTCTGTCGCAAGTGTCGTGACCTACTTTCTTAGGCGCAAAAACAAAATTCGTTCATGTTCAAGTTTTCGCTGCTCCATCCTCAACTTCATCGTCACCCCCTCTCATCCGCTTGTGCAGCCCTCCGTTTCTCCCGTTGCAATATTCCATGTCGTTCCTTCATCGCGTTCCACCCATCGACCTCCGCGCATCCCGCTCTGCCCATCGACCTCCGCCCATCGCGCTAATGCATTTGCGCACCCATCGGGCATGGCTCGAGCGAATGCACGCCGATGGGCCTCGCCTCCGACGACGGTCGCTGCTGCGCCACCTCGCCGCCCCCCGCCCTTCCGCCACAAATTCCTGATGCATTATTGCGGATAGCCCGCCACGAGTAGTGTTGTGCCCTTCGCGACTCGCTCTCGCTACTCGCTCTCAGCAAATAAATCGCCTATGTGCGTCTTAGCACTCACAGTTGCACTTTTCTCCTTCCCTTTCACCGCCTCTCTCACCTTACCGCGTCTCGCTCCTCCTGTCGATCGCACCTAGCTCATTCCTCTCAATCGCTCGTAATCCAGCACCAGGTATCACCGCCGGCACTACAACACTTATTCACGAAGGTTCGACTCTTCGGCGCGCGGCTGGAAAGAGGTTGAAGCCCGTTCGCCGTGGGCCTGCTTGTCGTCATGGCTCGCCGCGGACGGCCGTCTGTCGTTGGCGTCGTCGCACTCGTCGCCGGGCTCGCTGCGATCAGCCTCCTCGCGACCCACGCCAGCGCAGGTGAGCGCCGTCGTGCTCCCACTATCGCCACTCCCAGTGACTCGCGTTCACTCTTGCTCGCTCATCCGCTTGATTTTGACCACTCTTTTTGGTTGCACTCGTTCTTACAATGCTCTTGCTCTTGTTTGTGGGTGGTGTCGGAAAGTACGTGCGTGAGTGTTGGGGTGCGCGTGAGCGCAGCGCAGGGGTGTGGGTGAGTGCAATTTCTTACCTTTCCAACCCGCCTGCTCTGCTTCATCTCGAAACCGCCTCGACTACCCTGCAGACGCGTGTGCCACCGTGGATTGCGGGTCAGTCGCCTTCTGCTCTGCGGCCGATGATGGCAGCACGGAGTGCCTGTGCGACGGGGGTTATGTCTTCAACGTAACAGACAAGACATGCAATGGTGAGTGGTGGGAGTGTGGCACTGATGCACTATCGGCTGCATGGCTGAATGTCTCAGTGAGCTGCCCGTCGCCTGCCCAGAGTTTACAGCCACCTGCCATTCAGTATCTTTTGCTCCTTGACTTCCCCCCTCATTATTACTTCCACCCTCTCCTTCCCCCCTCATGCCCGTGGCAGATCCGTGCGCGGATGTGGCGGTGCAGTGTCCAGCGAGGGCGGAGTGCGTGGCGAGGAGGGGCAAGGCGGAGTGCGAGTGCGAGATGGGGTACATCCTGCAGAACAACACCTGCACTGGTGAGACTCAACCGCCTCCACGCAATCACATCTTCCCACGTCTCACGCTTCAACAACAGTAACCCCTGAGAAGCCCCCCTGAGAAGCCCCCCTGAGAGGCCCCCCTGAGAGGCCCCCCTGAGAGGCCCTGAAACATCACGCGCCTCATCCATGTTCGCTTCCGCCCCTCATTTCCCCCACACCCCACCCCACACCCTCTTGCCTTTGCATTCCGCTCTCTCCCCCCTCTGCTGCAACAACTCGACGGCACTGAATCCTGGGCATCACCACAACAACAACGTGCGGCGCCCACGGTGCAGATGGGCTGCTGCAGACGCAGGTGGAGGTGGAGGGGCTCACCTACCTCGCGCTCCTCACCTTCGAGAGCCCCGTGCCCATGGCGCACGCCACTGGCGCCATGGCGTGCAGCGACGTGGGTGATCTGGGCGGGGGCAGCAGCACGCGGATCAGCGTGGAGTGGAAGTCGGTTGGCGTGGACACTGTGGGCACCGGCATGTGCAAGAGCCTCTCGTTTCACTCCGACCCCGGCTGTGCGGACAAGGCAGGATTGACCATCGCGCGCCCTGCCATGGTCGGCGGTGCCTTCCCCGTCACAAAAAGGTGAGCGACGGCACTGTGGTTTTGTCTGCTGTGCTGCTTGTGTTTCGAAGGAAGCATGCCAGTCAGTAAAGTTGTTTTGTTCAACGGTGTCCTCTGTGGTGTGCCCTCCCCTTTGCGCCTCACTCGCAGGACTGTGAAAGCAACCCCACCGCAGTCAATCAGCTGTGAGATCGGTAAGTGCGAGCGCAGAAACTTGTCCCGGGCACATGCGCATAGCCCTTGGAGTGTCTTCACCGTCACTGTGAATGCAGCAAGTGCACATAGGCAAGGAGGTTCAAGCACCTTCACCTCTCTTCTGGTTAAGCAAGGTGAACACACAGGCACTGCTCTCTGCACTCGATTCGCTGCCTCCCCATTCCATAGATGCCTCACGCCGCGAGAAACCTTTTTAATTTGTCCGGGCCGCATGCGCATAGTTGTTGGAGTATCAGCACCTTCACTCTGAACGCATGAAGTGCACATTGCGAAGGAGGTCAGGCACCTCACCTCGGGTTCCGAATAGTTGGAGACACGCACAGCTCTTTGCACTTGATTCTCCGCCTCCCCGTATCATGCCATGCCTTATTGACCCCATTCACCCCTTCCCCCTACATGCCTGGCTGGTGCGGTGCTGTCAACAACAGCCACGTGTCACAAGGACTGCGGCACTGCACAGTGCGTGGTGAGGGACGGCGTGTCTGAGTGCAAGTGCCCCTGGAGCCAGGTGTTCGACGAGGCGCACAAGCGCTGCACCAGCAAGTCGCCCGGCCCCACCCCTGGTATGTCGCTCTGTCTGCTATTGCATGTACCCAACGACGAGTAGCTGCCCCATCAGCCGTCCTTGTGTGCAGGCAGAAAGATGAACTCCCCAGGCCGAACCTCCTCCATTGAGAAGCCAGGCCGAACCTCCTCCATTGAGAAGCCAGGCCGAACCTCCTCCATTGAGAAGCCAGGCCGAACCTCCTCCATTGAGAAGCCAGGCCGAACCTCCTCCATTGAGAAGCCAGGCCGAACCTCCTCCATTGAGAAGCCAGGCCGAACCTCCTCCATTGAGAAGCCAGGCCGAACCTCCTCCATTGAGAAGCCAGGCCGAACCTCCTCCATTGAGAAGCCAGGCCGAACCTCCTCCATTGAGAAGCCAGGCCGAACCTCCTCACAAATAATCATCATCTCACTCCTTCCCGCCCCCACCCACGGCAGACCCAAACCCTAGCGGAGGCGCGGACCCGTGTGAGGCAGTGAAGTGTGCGAGGAACTCGCAGTGCGTGGTGAGGAACGGGCAGCCCGTGTGCGAGTGTGATGCTGGCTACACCAAGGCCAACAAGGGCCTCTGCACTGGTGAGATCTACAAGGGTTCTGTTATTTTTTCTGATTGTCTCCGCACGAGCTCCAGAGGCAGCCCCACACCTAGAGGCAGCCCCACACCTAGAGGCAGCACATGAAATCACAGTGCTTCATGTCAGCCCAGCTTGAGTGTGTGTGTGTGTGCTATTGTGTGGCGTCCTCTTGGCCCTCACACGGGCGCTCCTTCCTCCTCGTCTGCTGCCCCACTCAGCCTCATGCTCTTTCCCCTCTCCTCCACGCATCACCTCGCACCACACCAGCTATCTGCAAGCCGGACTGCCCTGCCAATGGCCAGTGCGTGGTGGTGGGAGGGAAGCCCGTGTGTCGCTGCAAGGCGGGCTTCCGGCAGGGCAAGAGCACGTGCACACGTAAGGGCAGAAGGGCGAGGGAGAGCGAGCCCCCATTGTATTGTGCAGCGAGGGAGAGCGAGCCCCCGTTGTATCGTGCAGCGAGTGATTCAAGCCCCCGTTCTCCAACCGCTCCACTGCTCATTGTCTTTCCCCTCTCATCATCATATTGCGAGGAGAGCTGGTGTCTTTCGCCACCATGAATCGTTCTCATTCCCCGCCTGCTTGCTTGCCACCATGCGGTGTTCCATCTCGTTGCCTCTCACCCTCCAACCTTCCCATCTCTCCCACCCGACCCACCCGTCTGACAGCTGTGTGCAAGCCTACCTGCGGTGCCAATGCCCAATGCCTGGCGGTGAAAGGGAAGCCGGCGTGTCAGTGCAGCACGGGATTCAAGTCCATCAACAACAAGTGCACTCGTAAGGGCGAGGACAAATGTGCTATCCTCGTGTTTGTGTCACTCCCATAATTTCCACCTGCAGAACACCACGCGTGAATGAAGCTTTTGTCATCTGTGTTTGCTGCGCTGTAATGTAATCCCTCGGCCCTTCCCCGCTCATCCACCATCCTTCCCATCTCTCGCACCCAACGCACCCATTTGACAGCCGTGTGCAAGCCTGGCTGCTCTGCCAATGCCCAGTGCATGGCGGTGAAAGGGAAGCCGGCGTGTCAGTGCAACACGGGGTTCAAGTCAGTCAACAACAAGTGCACTCGTAAGAGAGGGAGATTGCTCTTCATTTTCTCTTCCATGCCTGTGAAGCTCCAGTGAACCCCATGCTCTTCCCTCTCTTCCAAAACCTTACCACCCACTTGCAAACATATGCTGTGTATGCTGCCTCTGCTCGATTCCCTTCATCTCTTCCTCACTTTTACTTTCATTCTTCCCCTCTCTCTCACCCACCCCACCCACCTCACAGCCGTGTGCAAGCCTGGCTGCTCTGCCAATGCCCAGTGCATGGCGGTTAAGGGCAAGCCGGCGTGTCAGTGCAGCACGGGGTTCCAGCTGGTCAACAACAAGTGCACTCGTAAGAGCGAGGGAGACGCGTATGCTCTCGCGATATTTCTCTCTTCCATGCGTGCCCAGCTCCAGTTAACCTCGTGCATGCGCTTCCCCCCTCGCTCACAACCTCTACCATCACAACCGCCTTGCATCCTATTCTCGTTGACCCACTCCTGCACCGCCCTTGTGCTTCCTCGTTTCTCTACGGTCTTCCATCTCCATGTAGTCATGCCTGGACGGCATTCCATTGACTCTCATACTGCTCTTCGCTTCCCACCACCCATCCACCCACTCAGCCAAATGAGCTGGATCCGCGTGAAGGCGATTCAAGGCTTCAATATGTGCTCTCAAGAGGCCGTGTTACTCAACAGCAGAGAAGAGGTGCAAGTGGCTGCATGTGGTGTGGTTGCTCGGAAGGCAGGAATGAAAGTTAGATGGCGGTGTGGAAGACCAAGTGTAGGGGGGGGGGGGAGGGGGGATTTTAAAGTTTCTGTATTGTGCAATGATTATCGTCTCGTGTACCATAGACTTCAATTCTTCTTTGCATGTTACGGTATGTTTCTCTGTTTCTAATTATTCGCTCCACGTCTCCCTTTGGAACAAACAATGTAGCGATGGTGTGAAAAGGCAAGAAATAATTACTAGGCTGATGAGACCTGATAGACTTCTCATCACAGTGGCCTTGTATTGTAATGTGTGCACGAATAGTTGGAGGCGAGGAGACCTCGGTTGGTGTTGGGCAGAGAAAAGCCCTTAGGATCTTTCAAGGTTAAGACCCTGAGTAGGAATGTTTTAGTTGCGAAAGCGTTCTTATTAGTGAACTTGTTGAACCAACTTGCACTAGTGTGTGAGAGCAAGAGATTGATTATACCAGGGCAATACAAAGGTTTATTTATATGATTACAAGGAATATGAAAAGGTGCATCTAACTGTTTTGCTGTTGCGGTTCGATACAGTAACGACTCGAGCAACTGCTCAATACCGAGTCAGTTGTTTGTCCTTGCTGTCGCGCTGTACTTTGTCGAGTCAAAGGTCGCTGACCTTTGACCTTCGTGTAACCTCCAGCTGTTACTTTCTGTCAACCTCCTCGGTTGACTCGCCGTTGCTCCACTGTGATTCGCCTCATTTGCAGTCTATTGTTTCGACACAACAGAAGCGTTAAATTACTTGTTTCCAACACTCCCCTTCGCTTCTGGAGTGTCGATGCTGATGACGTGGCCTTGTCCAGTCAGCACCATGCAATACTCGAACTTCTGCTATCCGAGTTTCTTGGTCAAGTAATCGGCTGCCATCTCGGATGTGGGACAGTAGGATAGCTTGCGTCTCCCCTTCTCGATTCTGCCTTTTACGAAGAAGTACCGGAGGACGATGTGTTTCGTTCGATTCGCGAACCCGTTCTTGTTCGCTATGCGAATGGCCGATTGGTTGTCGCAGAACATGGAGAAGCTGGGTAACTGAGCCAGCTTTGCTTCTTCCAGTAGTTCGCGAAGGTACAATCCTTCCTTGGTGCCTGAGCAGAGTGCGATATATTCTTCTTCAGCTGAGGAAAGAGCAATTAGTTCTTGCTTGCTCGACTGCCACGAGATGGGGCCGATAGGTTCGAGTCGGTAGAGGTAGTTGGTGCGCGATCGCCTGTTGTCGGAGTCGCCGGCGTGATTAGCATCCACATAACCGATTAGCTTGTGTGTCGTAGTTCCGGTCTTGTGGTAGGTTAGACCGATCGTCGGGGTGCTGACGAGGTAGTGAAGTGCATGGTCGAGCTCCGCCATGTGATTTGCTTCAGGCTTCTTAAGGTAGGTGGCGAGTTGGCTAGCTGAGTAAGATAGGTCCGGTCGGCAGGTAACGCCTGCGAAGAGTAGACAGCCTAGCTTTCGTTGGTAGTCGCGAATGCCGGCGGATTTGAGTAGAGCGGAGGCTTCCTTGCGATTTCCGTCGGTGTAACGATATGGTGTAGTGATGGTAGCTGGGGTTAGTCCGAAGCGTTTGGCGATGGTGTCGGCGTATTTTGCAGCGCTCAGATAGACGTGTTCTCCCCTTCTTGTATGTTGAGTCCCAGGTACTGAGTTACGGTAGACGAGACGGTAAGCGTGGGGTTCCACTGCAGCTCCCCTTCGAACCAAGTCATGATGTCGTCAGTTGAGCCGATGTAGAGTAGGTCGTCTACGTAAACGATAAGCAGGATGTAGTCGGTCCCCTTAGTGAGTCGGTACATTCCTTGGTCATGCGGTAGTTGGCGGGATCCGATGCGAATTAGTCGGGCATGAAGATACTGCTGCCACAGCCTCGGAGCTTGCTTGATGCCGTACAATGATTTCAGTAGCTGACAGACTTGATTGGGGTCTGTGTTAGAGCCGTGTGGTTGTTCGACGAAAATCTCAGCATCGACGGGAGCGTACAGAAAGGCGTTGGCGACGTCGATTTGGCGGAGCTTCTTCCGCTTCATGGCGGCTATCGCGAGAAGAATCCGTAGTGAGGTGTGTCGGCTAACTGGCGCGAAGGTTTCGGTGAACGCACGTACATATTGGAGTTGGAGCTAAATCCCGCGGTGAGGTTGGCGCTTCTGTGAACTTCGCGTGGAGTTGGAGTCAACTGCTGCGCAGGAGTCGGTGGAGTATCGTCGACGAAAACTGGTGCCGTTGAAGGACCCGCGATTGGTGTCATAGTCGGTGTTGCCTCGGTGCTGCCGGCGTTGTCTCTGCTGCTGCGAGTGTTGTCTCTGCTGCTGCCGGTGTTGTCTCTGCTTCTGCTGATGTTTTCTCTGCTGCTGCCGATGTTTGTTGAATTGTCACTAACGCTCTCGTTCGTTCAGCTTCATGTATAGAGTGCGAGTACCAGAAGCCTCCAGGACTGAAGCCGGGGTCGAGATCTAGCGGGTGTGTTCAAGAGGTGAAATTGACGATGGCAGTCACTGTCGGCGGTGCCTTGGTCTGGAACGAAGTCAAGAACGAAGACATTGTTCTATTAGACTGCCTTGCCGATGTAGAGCCCACGTTTCCCGTGGTACAGCTTGAACTCCTGGGTGGTGCTGTCTGCTTCGAGATGAATTCCCTTCGCCATTAGTTGATTGACGCTGAGTAAGTTATAGCCGAGTCCTTCTGCGATAAGAACCTTAAACATCTGCAGAATTACGTTGGTTTCTCGAGACTGAAGTTGAACTATCCCCTGTCGTCGTGTGCGCAGGTTCTGGTTGTTGGCGACGGTGATTACGACTTCGCGCTGAAGTTGGTGTTCCCGTTGAACGAAGCGACCTGATGAGCATATGTGCTGTCCGCAACAGCTATCCAAGAACCAGGTGTCTTTCCCGGACGGCTCACTCTAGGCGATGGCTGCGTACGTCAGATTCGGCTCCAATGATTCATGGCGAGGGGTGCTTTCGTCGAGTTGTTCTTCTGGTGAGTAGTATGGTGGCGATCCGGTGATGCAGGAGTCTGTTGTTCTTGCCATGCAGCTTAGGATGTTTCTTGCGCCTTGTGCAGGTTTTGTCGTTGATGTCGTTGAGGACTGTACTTGATTGGTGGGATGCGCTTGTGTAGAAGCAACTTGACTGCTTGAGGGCCGAAGTTGACGTTGCAGCAGCGTTGACTGCTGTTGATTCGGGCAGTGTGTGCGAGGGTGTCCTGACGTCTTGCAGAGATGGCAGAATGGTGGTACGTATTGTTGAGCTTGATGTTTGTTCTGTTGATTGGTGTTGTTGTATTGCCGTTGAGTGTGGAACGCGAACTCTGGTGCTGACGCTCTCTTCTTGTGTCGTTCTTCGTGTAGGTCCATGTACTGCTGTTCAGCGTGAATTCCGGCGCAGAGTGCTGCTTCGGAGATCTTCCCGTGAGCTTGGAGGATAGCTCGAGTGGAGCGCCAATGAGGACCGAGGCCAGTAATGACAACTGTCACCAAGGCTTCTTCGGATATCGATCCTCCGCATCGAAGGAGTCTGTCGCGCAGTCCACGATAGCGGCCGATATACGCCATCCCCTTTTCGCCGGGTTTCATTTCAGCTGTTGTCAGCTGTGCCATGAGACGACTTTGATTAACATTCTCTGTTGCTTGATGAGAAAATGAACGAGAATGAATTGACTAAGGGAAAGTTGGGTACAAGTACAAACCCTAGAAAGTCGTACCCAATATGTGCTGTCAGAATCCCACCAACCACTAGACCATTGGGATAAAAGGGCTTGTTAAGTAGCGGGTCAGAGTGCGCCCATAACCCCCCAGGCGAACGCGCCTGTAACCCCCCGTAGGATCAATCGGGCATCCACAGTGCAGATCTACTGACATGTGCTACCCCACTATAGCCTACAACAGCTATGTCATATAAATCTGACACACCCCCATAGGCAAAGTGGGGGAGAACAAGGGGTCACAAGACCAGTCAAGCAAAGCAAAGCAAGCTCAGGGTGGATCACAAAGTCACCACACATTCCGAGCACAAGTTCAAGGCCACAAGGCCAGTTCACATGCAGGATTACATATATATATAAGGCTAGACAAGCAAGAGTAGGTGTATATATATATGCAACAGTACAAACAAGGTCAAGGGGTGAGCAAGTGAGGCAAGGTAGGCACAAGACCCAGCTGAGTACAGAAGCGCTGATGATCACAAGGCGCAAGTGCCTTGGTGAAGATATCAGTAGTGTTGGCCTTAGAGGCCACATACGCAAGGCGCAGCTGACCACGCTGCTGTAGCTCACGAGCAAGGAAGTAGCGAAGAGCAATGTGCTTCGTTCTGTGCTCTAGTCTCTGCTCCCGACACAAGGCCAGCATGGCCTTGTTGTCTACGTACAGCACTAGAGGAGAACGAGGCGGCTCTCCGAGGTCAGTCAGCAGGTAGGTGAGCCAGCGAAGCTCCTGTGCAGCCATGGCTCCTGCGTAGATCTCAGCCTTGTCAAACATTATATATGTTCTGCTTGTTTAGGCTACTGTGGGTTAGCCTATAGGGGGTACACAATTCAGGGTTAGGTACTTGTACTGTTTTCACTGTTAGTTCATCCATTCCTGTTCATTCATTTCAACATGGTATAAGAGCAGGTCCTTCCTAGGACCGATTTTTTAGGGCCCACCACTACCTACCTACCTACCTGCGCCCTAGGGCGCCTCGGTTTTCACGGCCCTCTAAGGCCCCGCGACCCGCGAAGCGCCCCTTAGCGACCCGCGACCCGCCCCTTAAGGCCCCGTCGGCCCACGCGCTTGCCCCTTACGGCCCCGCACTCGCCCCTTTACGGCCCCGCGCTCGCCCCTAGAGGCCCCGAACGGCCCACGCGCTCGCCCCTAGCGGCCCCTGTCGGCCTCGCGATCGCCCCTAACGGCCCTGTTGGCCCCGTGCTCACCTCCCTAGAGGCCCCGAAAGGCCCCGTCGGCCCCGCGCTCACCTCCCTAGAGGCCCCTTACGGCCCCGTCGGCCCCTAGAGGCCCCTTTACGGCCCCGCACTCACCTCCCTAGAGGCCCCAAACGGCCCCGTCGGCCCCGCGCTCACCGCCTCTAGAGGCCCCGAACGGCCCGTGACCGCCACAGCCCAGGATCGAACCGAGCCGCCCAGGACCGAACCGAACCGCGCGACCCGAGCCGAGCCGCGCGACCAGAACCGAACCGCGCCGCCCCACGCGAGCCGCGCCGCCCTACCTAAACCGAGCCGCCCTACCTGCTTCATCCTCCTACTCCTACTGCTACTCCTACTACTCCTATGGCTAGCCCACAGGTGCTAGTTTTCGATGCTGAGGGCCGCCCAGTGAAGTTTGACACCTGGCTAGACGACCTGCACCTCTATCTACAGCTCACAGCCAAGGACGACATCTCACTGTACGACCACGCCCTAGGCCATGTCACTGCCCCTGCTGCTACTGCTGACAGCACTGCCCGCTCACAGTGGCAGACTCGTGATGCCCACGCTCGCTTCGCTATTCGCAACTCCCTGCCGATAGATGAGCGCGAGCACTTTGGCCAGCACAAGACTGCACAGGCACTGTACACAGCTGTCGTTGCTCGCTACTCCTCACCGGCCTCTGCCGCCCTAGGCCATCTCTCCCTCCCCTACCTGTTTCCCGACCTGGCCTCGTTCCACACAGTCGCTGACCTCATCACGCACCTCCGTACTAGTGAGGCCCACTTCCGTGCCGCCATGACTGATGAGTTCCTTGCCACGCACCCCCCCCCCACTCTGGCTCACTCTCTACCACCTAGTCACCCGCCTCCCTGACACTCTGCGTGCTGTCAGGGATCACTTCCTAGCTCGCTGCCCCACTGAGCTCACCATTGCCCTCCTCGAGAAGGAACTGCTTGCAGCTGAGGCTAGCATCGTAGCTGTAGGTGCCTCTCGTGGCGAACCCCGTACCCCGTTCTTTGAGGGGTGTTCTCCTTCCCCCCTTCTTCCCTCTGTTGCCTCTGCTGCTGCTGTCGACCTCCTTGGTGCTGAGAAGGTCGATACTGCGTCTGCTTCGAGCGGGCGCCGCAGCGGCAAGGGCAAAGGGGGCAAGGGAGGAGGTGGTGACGGCGGGGGAGGCGGTGGTGGGGGTGGTGGCGGCGGTTGGGGTGGTGGTGGGACTGGTGGGACTGGTGGGGCTAGTGGTAACGGTGGGGATGGTGGCGGCAACGGCGGGGGAGGTGGCAGGGGCGGAGGCGGTGGTGGGGGTGGCGGTGGACGCGGCGGCGGCAGGGGTTGGGGTGGTCGAGGAGGTGGCGGCGGCGGTGGTGGTCGTGGAGGCGCTGGCGGTGGCCAGGGCCAGGAGCACACTCCGTCGCCCCAGGAGGTCCGTGAGTGGTACTCACAGCACGGGGGGGGGGGGGGGGGGGTGGCTTTAGCTGCACGTACGTCATTCGCACGGGTGACCGCACTGGTCAGCCGTGTGGGGGATCGCACGCCACACAGCGGTGCTTCGCTCGTCTCAACGATGCTTGGCATGTTCAGTTCCCTCAGGCCACTGAGCTGCCCCACTAGGTTGATCTCCTGAGGAAGGGGATTGATATCTATGCTCTAGACTTTGATGCTATTCTATCTGCTATGTATGTGATGTCTACTAGTGGAGAGGGTGCTGAGTACCTGTGTGTGCCGCCCGACCCGAGCATTAGGTCTAGAGCGTCTGCCGCTCCAGGTACTCGCGTGTCTGCTACCCCAGGTGTTGGTGAGGCCACTGCTCTAGGTGCTTGTGCGTCTGCCCCCGCTGGTACTGAGTCGACTGCAGCACTACACACCTTCACACTGGACTCAGGTGCTTCTCGCTGCTTCTTTCGTGACCGCACTGCCCTTGAGCCGCTTGCTCGGCCAGTTGCTGTCTCCCTCGCTGACCCCTCTGGGGGTCCGGTCATTGCGACCTCCTCCACTTACCTTCCCTGTCCTGCGGTCCCGTCGGGCACACTGTCAGGTCTCCACCTCCCCTCGTTCTCTACGAACCTGGTGGCAGGATGTGCGCTCCAGGACGGGGGTGTTCACCAGTTCACCCCTGCCTACGAGCGCGTGACACACTGCACGTGTGCTCGTACGGGCCGTCACTTGGCTACCTTCACTCGGCAGCCGGGGTCGGACCTGTACACACTGACCACTGAGTCCCCTCAGGTCGCTGCGTCTGCGTCTGCGTCCGCGTCAGGTCAGCTGTCGGCCCCCTGCTCGTGTCGCTCTCTGGCACACGAGACTGTCCTCTGGCACCACCGCCTTGGTCACCCGTCTGTGCAGCGGCTTCATGCCATGCACTCCCGGTACCTTGTCTCTAGCCTTCCCAGGGTCCGTCCTCCCCTCCCTCCCTCACCTGCTTCTCCCTGTCTTCCCTGTGTCGAGGGGCGGCAGCGCGCCGCTCCTCATTCCTCCTCGTTTCCCCCGACGACTGCTCCCTTGCAGACGCTCCACATGGACGTGTGGGGCCCAGCCCGCGTCCATGGTCAGGGTCAGGAGAGGTACTTCCTGATAGTTGTTGACGACTACTCGCGCTACACCACGGTCTTCCCCTTGCGCACCAAGGGTGAGGTCCCTGATGTCTTGATCCCTTGGATCCGCAGAGCCCGTCTCCAGCTCAGCGAGCGTTTCCACTCGGACTTTCCTGTCCTGCGCTTGCACTCTGACAGAGGTGGTGAGTTCTCCTCCGACCTCTTGGCAGCCTACTGTGCTGAGCACGGCATTGAGCAGTCGTTCACGCTTCCGGCCTCACCACAGCAGAATGGGGTTGCGGAGCGCCGCATTGGCCTGGTCATGGAGGTCACCCGTACCTCCTTGATCCATGCGTCTGCCCCCCACTTTCTGTGGCCGTTTGCGGTCCGGTACGCTGCGCATCACCTCAACCTCTGGCCCCGTGTCTCCTTGCCGGAGACCTCGCCCACACTGCTGTGGACGGGGGAGGTTGGCGATGCGTCGCGTTTCCGGGTCTGGGGATCTCGAGCTTTTGTCCGCGATACGTCTGCGGACAAGCTCTCCTCCCGTGCTATTCCCTGCGTCTTCCTCGGCTTTGTCCCGGACGCGCCTGGTTGGCAGTTTTACCACGCCACCTCACGCTGAGTCTTGCCCTCTCAGGACGTCACTTTTGACGAGTCCGTCCCCTACTACCGCCTCTTCCCCTACCGCACTGTCCCGCTCCCCCCCCCGCCTCTCTTCCTCGCGCCAGGTGCTGCTGTCGTAGACCCCCTCCCCCCTCAGGGTGCCGCTCCGTCAGGTGTGTCTCAGGTAGACCCAGTTGAGCCTGTTGAGGTAGCTGTTGACTCTCGTCCTGCTGCGGGTGAGGAGCCTGGGGGTACTGAGCCTGGGGGTGCTGAGCCTGGGGGTGCGGAGCCTGGGGGTGCTGAGCTTGGGGGTGCGGAGTCTGGGGGTGCTGAGCCAGGGGGTGCGGAGCTTGGGGGTACTGAGCCTGGGGGTGCTGAGCCTGTAGGTGCTGAGCCTGGGGGTGCTGAGCTGCAGAGTCCGGAGTCTGGGGGTTCCGAGTCTGGTGGTGCTGAGCCTCGTAGTCCTACACCTGGAGGAGCCCTCTCCTCGGAGCAGCTGCGTGAGTGGTACTTACAGTACTGCAGCCTCAGGAGAGGTACCTCTGGAGCCAGGAGTACTAAAGGGACTGGTGCTAGTGCTTCTCCTCCTAGTCGGGAGCTCCCCTCCCGTGAGCGGATCCGTGAGTGGTACGAGCGGCGCTGCACTCTTCGGAGTGGTGCGCCTCGTGTCGCGGACCCCGCTGCTGCTGGTGATGCTGCTGGTGCTGCGGACCCGGGCGTTGGAGCTGCTGCTGGTGCTGAGGACCCGGGCGTTGGAGCTGCGGGTGGTGCTGAGGACCCGGGCGTTGGAGCTGCGGCTGGTGCTGAGGACCCGGACGCTGGTGCTGCTGCTGGTGCTGAGGACCCGGGCGTTGGAGCTGCGGCTGGTGCTGAGGACCCGGACGCTGGTGCTGCTGCTAGTGCTGAGGACCCGCGCGTTGGAGCTGCGGCTGGTGCTGAGGACCCGGACGTTGGTGCTGCTGCTGGTGCTGCGGACCCGGGCGTTGGGGCTGCGGCTGGTGCTGAGGACCTGGGAGTTGGAGCTGCTGCTGTTGCTGCGGACCCTGGTTCTGGAGTCACTGCACATTCGTACTTCGTTCCGCTCCTTCAGCAGGTTCTTGGTCAGCTCCCTCCTCCTTGTCCTCCTTGTCCTTCTTGTCGAGAACAGAATACGAGCGGGTGGCCCGCCACGAGACAGAGCCGGAACCAAGGCTGAAGGTGTAACCCTGTGACGACTGCTGCGTAGCCTGGTCGTTAGCCCAAGAAGCGTCTGCGTGCCTAGTGAGGACCACTGGACTCTGCCCTCCAAGCACAAGCCCCATGCCCGACGTACTGCACAAGTAGCGCAACACCCTCTTCGCTGCAGCCATGTGCTCTGGTCGGTGTCTCCCAGGAGCAACATAGCGTGCGAGAATGCTAAGAGGGTATGCAAGGTCAGGTCGTGTGCAGGTCATCAGGTACATGAGGCAGCCAACAAGCTCTGCATACGGGCCACTCGACTCTACGGACTCATCCGAAGGCAGAGCTGAGAGCGAGTGGCGAGTAGGCAGAGGAGTGGCCTGAGGCGAGGAGTACGTGAAGCCGAAGCGCTGAAGGACCTGCTGCACCATGTGTGACTGAGTCAGGGTAATGGTGCGGCGTGCTCTGTCCCGGGTGATCTGCAAGCCAAGGTAGCTGCGCAGTTCACCCAGGTCTGTGCACGTGTGTCTCTTCTGCAGCTCGGACTTCACGTGGGCGAGTCCAGCAGTGTCACCTGTGGCAAAGACCAAGTCGTCGACGTAACAGGCCGGCTGTAACTATAACAGCGACGGGACAGGCTGTGGACACTCTAAGGGAGGAGGAGGACAAGTTGAAGACGGGAGACCAAGAACCTGCTGAAGGAGTACGGGCAACAGAACCTCCAGTACCCACAGCACCTCCATCTCCAGCAGCTCGCCTCCAGCGCCGGGCAAACCACTCACGCAGCTCCTGTGGAGAGAGTGGCTCCCGGCGAGAAGAAGCACCCGGAGAACCGCCAGGCACAGCACCAGCAGGCCCAGATCCCTCAGGCTCCGCACCCCCAGGCTCAGCACCTCCAGGCGTAGCACCCCTAGGCTCAGCACCCCCAGGCTCAGCACCCCCAGGCGTAGCACCCCCAGGCTCAGCACCCCCAGACTCAGCACCCCCAGGCTCAGCACCCCCAGTCGTAGTACCCTCAGGCTCAGCACCCCCAGGCGTAGCACCCACACGCTCAGCACCCCGAGAGTCAGCACCCCCAGGCTCAGCACCCTCAGCAGCACCAGAGTCACCAGCGACCTCGACAGGCTCAACAGCGTGTACCTGGGACACACCTGAAGGGGCAGGACTCTGAGGGGGGAGGGGGTCTACCGGGGGGGGACCTGATACAAGGAAGAGCGGTGGCGGGGGGAGGGACGGAGTGCGGTAGGAGAAGAGACGGTAGTAGGGGACCGACTCGTCGAACGTGACGTCCTGGGAGGACAGAACACGGCGAGAGGTGGGGTGGTAGAACTGCAACCCTGGCGCGTCAGGGGGGAAACCCAGGAAGATGCAAGGAGCAGCACGAGGGGACAGCTTGTCCGTAGACAAGTCGCGGACAAACGCCCGAGATCCCCAGACACGGAACGCAGACGCATCGCCAACCTTCCCCGTCCACAGCAAAGCTGGGGAGGTCTCCGGCATGGAGACCCTGTGCTGAAGGTTGATCTGATGCGCCGCGTACCGAACCGCAAACGACCACAGAAAATGGGGGGCAGCCGCATGCATCATGGACGTACGGGCGACGTCCATGGCCATGCCAATGCGGCGCTCAGCAATCCCATTTTGCTGTGGAGAGTCCTGAAGCGTGAAGGTCTGGCGGATGCCTCGTGCACGATAGTAGGCTCGCAGAAGGCCAGAGGAGAACTCTCCGCCTCTGTCAGAGTGCAGACGCAGAACAGGAAAGTCCGAGCCGAAGCTCCGCCTGAGCTGGAGACGAGCTGCGCGGATCCAGTCGATCAACACCTCAGTGACATCACCCTTGCTGCGCAAGGGGAAGACTGTGGTGTAACGCGAGTAGTCGTCAACCACCAGCAGGAAGTAGCGCTCGTGACCCTCTCCACGGACGCGGGCTGGGCCCCAGACACGGCTACCTGACCAGACGCAGGGACTGGAGGAGATGCAGTGGTCAGTGTGTATAGGCTCGACCCTGGCCGACGTGTAAACGTGGCCAGGTGTCGGCCTGTCCGAGCGTCCGTGCAGTGGGTCACCTGCTGACTCGCAGGAGTGAACTGGTGAACCCCCGCATCCTGTAGGTCAGCACCACTCACCAAGTTCGTAGAGAAAGAGGGGAGGTAAAGACCAGACAGGGTGCAAGAGGGGGCCGCCGGACACGGGAGGACAGTGGAGAAGTGAGCAAGGACAGGACCCCCAGAGGGGTCTGCCAGGGAGACTGCAAATGGCCGACCAAGCGGCGTGAGTGTGGTGCGGTCTTGAAAGAAGGAGCGAGAATCCTCCGAGTCAAGTGTGAAGGTGTGGAAGGCCGAAGCCGACGCAGTACCTGAGAGCGCAGACTCACCAGTACCGGAGGAAGCAGACGCACTAGCACCTAGAGCAGCAGCCTCGCTAGCACCAAGAGCAGCAGCCTCACCAGCACCTAGAGCAGCAGTCTCAATGCCCGTGTCGGGCGGGAAACACCGGTAACAGTCACCCTCCTCACTAATAGACACAGTATACATAGCAGCAAGAATAGCATCAAAGTCAAGGTCAAAGATAGCTACCCCTGCCCTAGACAGCTCGACCCAGCGAGGGATCTCAGTGGCCTCAGGGAACTGGTGACGCCAAGCGTCCGTGAGGCGGCCAAAGCAGCGCTGGGTGGGGTGCGCACCCCCACACTGCTCACCTGCACGGTCGCCGGTGCGCAGGACGTAGGTGCACGGACCAGTACCCCCACCCCGCTGGCGTGCAGCGTACCACTCACGGAGTTGCTGAGGGGACAGGGTCTCCCGACTGCGCTGCTGCTGCTGGCGCTGACCACCACCGGAGCCACTCCTCTGCAAAGAGCCACGACCTCCTCCTCCTCCTCCTCCTCCTCCTCCGCCACCGCCTCCTCCACCTCCGCCACCTCCACCACCTCGGCTCCACCGCCACCGCCGCCGCCGCCTCCGCCTCTACTGCCGCCGCCGACACCTCCATCCCCGCCACCACTCCCACCAACACCCCCACCCCCTCCACTGCCTCCACCGCCGCCTCCACCGCCCCCGCTAGCTCCTCCTGCGCCCCTGCCCCCCTTGCCCTTGCCAGAGCGACGCTTCCCACTAGGGGTAGACGCCGCACCGACCGACTCCAGACCAACGAGGTCGGCCGCAGCAGCAGAGGCAACAGAGGGCAAAAGGGGGGAGGGGGAACACCCGTCAAAGATGGGGGTGCGAGGGTCACGACGAGAGGCTCCTACAGCTACTATGCTCTTTTCTGCTGCTAGGAGGGCCTTCTCGAGGAGGTCAACGGTGAGAGTGGTGGGGCAAACTGAGAGGAAGTGGTCCCTGACTACGCGAAGGGAGTCAGGGAGACGGGTGACTATGTAGTAGAGGGTGATGTACATGGGGGGGGGGGGTAATTGGCGCAGAACTTAGCAGGAAGCGCAGCGCGGTAGCGAGTGTCACTAGTGCAGAGGTGCGTAATGAGGTCAGCGATTGTGGGAAAGGCAGCAAGGTCAGGGAAGACGTACGGTAGCATGAGGCGGCTCAGTGCAGCAGTGGCAGGGGAGGAGTAGCGTGCAACTACAGCGTCGTACAAGGTCTGAGCACTCTTGTACTGGCTAAAGTGCGCACGCTCAGAGGTAGGCAGGTGGCGACGCACAGCAAGACGTGCAGCAGCATCGCGCGTGGCCCAGTGTGAGCGAACAGTGGCGTCAGCATCAGCAGCGGGGGTAGGAGAGGCACCAGAAGTGAGGTCAAAGAGGGAGAGGCCGTCTGCCCTATCGCAGTGTAAGAAAAGCTGCAGGTCATCTATCCAGACGTCAAAGTCAATGGCCCGACCCTCAGCGTCAAAAGCGAGGACACTAGG